AAGGGGCAATACAATGCAAATGCAAGTAGTTTTGGAAGCCAACACATGGATCAAGTCAAATCAGTCACTACTCTGCGCAGTGGTAAGGTTATTGAAAAACCCTCTCTTCAATATTATGAGAAAGATGATGAGTCAATCTCCGAGGGTAAGGAAGGGGTATAAAACTTGGTACAACAAATACTTAGCACTCTCATAGTCCATACTGTATGGTATAACCGACACCTGAGCTATGAAAGGAACTTGATTTGTTGTTAACATAAGTTATAATCATGAATGCTTGACGAGATTTACAAGTACTAGCATTAATCGAATAAGATGACTAATGTAATCATGTCAACAATATATAATCTGATTGGAACCTCCTTTGTGTGTGGTTTCCAATTCAATAATAAGAGTTTATACTATACTTGTTTGATATACCATTAGTGGAACCTCTAACCTTGACATTTGTTATTATCATTGTTTAATCGTTACATTAATATTCCATCTCAAAGTTCTCATCTTCTTCTTCTTCTTCTATTTCTTTATTATTATTATTATTATTATTATTATTATTATTATTATTATTACGAAGACATCAATATTTTCATCGTGTCATATTTCAAGGTGTATTTACCCTCAATCAAGCTTGTACCTTAGTTCAAAACTATAAATTGGCCATAAAGAATTAGTGGAAGAATCGTCAAGACTCTTATAGTATCCCTACTAGGTCCCAACTCAGAAGTAATGATTCTTTATTAAGTGTTTGAACCTACAAACCTAATCCTAGTAGCACCCAACTTTATAAGAAAGATAAGGGCAAACGAGTTGTCAATGAAGTGTCTAAGGTGAGTTCAAGGGCTTTCAAGTGTATTTATTGTCTAGGATTTGGTCATATCTCTTTAGATTACACCTTTAAACCCTCAGTCATTCAAAAATATAAGAATATAGGTAAAGAGAAAGATTGTAGTGTTGAAATGTATGAGCCTGTTCTTGAGGATTTTAGGGACCTAGATGACAAGGATGTATAAAAAGAGGAACTTAATATAATGAGTTCACATGAGCTTGAGAATGAGGTTAAGAAAGAATTCGATATGTCTACTTTAATGGTAGATGAAGGTTTAGAGAACTCTTCAGTGGAATCGCCTATAGAGATAAGTATGGTCTTAGAAGAGTCTTGCGATATTAGTCCTTATAAATTACTTGATTCCTCACCTTATATGCTCGGTGTCAGCACATTATAAGTTTAGAGCAACATGTTGAGCTTCTTGACCCCTTACCTCATGCACGTGATGAGAAAGATGAAGATAATCGTAGTTTACTTGATTGTGTCCATACCATATCTATATAGGTTTTAAACAATATTTGTCTCATTCCACACTTTCAATCATTTAATGTTCATAGTTACAAATGTAAGAAGCCTTTAGAACACCTTTTTATATCTCCTTACGATAAAATGTCTATATCAATTGAGTTATTAGCATGTAGAGTTTATAATTTGCATGTTGAGATCATGAAACAAATTCAAGCAAGTAATGAACAATATAAATTTCGAGTTGATTTACATATCATTATGCTCTTGATATTGAAGATTATTTCATGATACAGATTGACCTGAAATATATCATTTGAAAACTGATTATAAATCACAAGTAGGTAGTACTAGACCATTGAAAGTGTTGCAAATAATTGAATCAAATAATCATGTCATTAAATTGCCATTAAATTATGATATTAACTCTACTTTTGACATGAAGGACCTTGTTATATATAAAATACAATATCCTATCCTTGATTCTCCTTTTGAAACCCTTGCCTCATTATCCTTATTTTTGGCACAAAATGAACATATTAAGGCTACCTTGAATGCACAAGTTGTTTTTACTAAGGATGGTGAACTTTAGCAAATCCCAATATATGAGCTCGATGACCATATTTAGATTATACTTGGATTATCAGAGGGACTTCACAACAGCTTGATTCTTATTTTTGAGAGTGTTATCAAAGTTATCTTGACCTATACTTGATTGGGTCGAGTTCTTTCAACCTCGGAAGAATTAACGGGGACACCGAACCAAAAATATTGTTTATGCACGCGCATGATCATAGATGATGAAAGATAGCCCAAACCATTGAGAATTTGAGCTTTAGCTTATGCTTTTTGGTGTAGTTTATATTAACTTTTAATTGAAGTATATTAATTTAATTTAATTTGTTTGGTTTGATTTAATTATTGTTGGGTATTTTATTTAGTAAACCATAAGCTCAATCACTTGTTTTACTTAGGGTTTTAATATTTATATTCTACTTTTCTAAATGTTAGGAAGTTTTGATGATTAATAAAAATATTACAGACTTTATATATTTTTAATTCCTTTTCTTTTTTTTTAGCTTTTTTTTCTCTAAAGTTTTTTTTTTTTTAATTCTTATTATTTATTGTCTCGCATCAGTTATGCAACATAAAAAGATAAAATCAATGAGTCATTCAACTGGATCACTCTAGAACAAGTGCACAAGAGATGGAATCAGTGAGTCATTCAACTGGATGACACTAGAACAAGTGCAAATCCCACATGAGTGTTTGCTCAAATCCCGCATGCAGGAAATCAGCTGTTAAATTAAGGGGTATGAATTTGTCTATCATGGCTCATGTTGAAAGCAAACAGCACAACTCTGATTAAAATACATGTACAATATTAGCATATCCGAAATGAAAATCAAAACTATTGGAGTTCTCTATTAACTCAATGATTGAACATACTCTAGAACAAGTGCAAATCCCACATGAGTGTTTGCTCAAATCCCGCATGCAGGAAATCAGCTGTTAAATTAAGGTGGTATGAATTTGTCCATCATGGCTCATGTTGAAAGCAAACAGCACAACTCTGATTAAAATACATGTACAATATTAGCATATCCGAAATGAAAATCAAAACTATTGGAGTTCTCTATTAACTCAATGATTGAACATACATTGATGACCTCTTCTTAGTCTTGTTCTGCATCTTCTATCTCTTCATCCTCCGGAACTCCATGAAGGTAGAGAACATTGTTGCATCTGCAGATAACTTGCAAACAGAGTAAATCTTCTCAAGGAATATGAAGCTTAATTCTAAAACACTTCCGCACAAAATAAAGCAATTTAAAAAATAATATTTTGAGGATACGAGAGCTTCAGTACTCCTAAGTCCTAACCAAATGACCATCTCAACAGCTGTTTGAAGAGTTAATGACAGCAAAAGCAACATACATTACAACATACAAAGGCATTATAGAAACCAAAATTTAATTCACTATTTTGTTTGTGGTCTTAACATATTATCTGTAGCTCTCTTTTGCTTCATAATTTTGCGCCACTTTGACAATAGGTGTCTGGAACTCTACCTGCACTTCTAACATACAACCTATAGAAGAACAACAAATACAAATATGCAGTGATGCATGTGTGTAATACACAAAAGGTTGCCTGTTTGGAGAAGACATTTTCAATGTAGAGATAAATGCATGCTTCATTGTTGTCTTTTATTACTATTTATATGCTTTATGGATGTATTACATTGCATAAAATCTTCCAGAGTAGCCTTTAACATATTTCTTTTACAATTGCTGGAAGGGAGGGGGGAAAAATCTCCACCTCTAGGTCTACACAACCATGAAATAAAAAGACTTTACAGTATCTGCATCTTATATCCATCTTCCACCTCGTACTTTATTATAGACCAATACAAAGGAATCCAGCTCTATAATAATCATTAACTGAAAGTAATTTTAGCTTTTGCTAGTAAATTTGGAAGCATGAAACATGGAAATAAATAGAAAAAAGGAGTTTGTAAACTAGTAGACCTCACTGAACATTGCAGATAGTACTCAAAGTTATAACACCCACAAAACAACCATATCATGTTTGAACTTCAAATATATTTGAGACCATAACGTAACAAAATATCACCAGTTCTGAGTTTAGTCCACCATATCTATGTGTTGTTGCGTATACTAATAATTACAAAGTCAAATAAGAGCCATCTTAGGCTTAAGCCTTTTTTTCTCCCTAACACTGTTTCAGCTTCTTTTCCCAGCTTTCTATTGGCTCCAAGCATCTAAATCAATCGATATTTCTCCCATTGTCTCAAGATTTTGGAAAAGATATTCCCTATACTTTCCATGTTCAACACACAAGATTCAAAAAGAGGCTAAACCTTTAAAAGCTTTGAACCTATAGAAATATATTACATGCTACGGGTTCATTTAGTAGTAATGTTGCCTTTTCTATTGGTGTTAGGTACAGTTGAGGCAGGTAGAAATGTATGGTAACTTATGCTTCGGAAAGCCTTATGTCGAAACTGATTCAAATGACAAACAACAAAAGTAGTAATCTAATCATTGACATGCAAATATTGGCATAATTTATGAAAATCATTATTTTCTTTCATAAAGTAACAGCAAGAAGAACCAACAAAAGGTTTCATATGGAGCTTTACACAAGAAAAAACTTCAAAGGGCTTTGTTGGTATCAAACTCAGTTGTCAGACAGGTTTGAGAGCATATTTAGGCTTAAAGTTCTTCTGAACACAATACAAAACAGCTCTAATTCAACGGTGGTATATTTAAAATAAAAACCTGCTGGTGTTACTAATTATACTTCAGTTACACGAGTAACTAGATTTTTAGGAGAGAAAGCTACTCCCTTTTAGCATTTAACCTAGCTTTTGTATAAAATCTGTTAGTTCTTAAAAAGTGACTAATGCCCAAGGAAGATATCACATAGCCATTCTTTCTAATCATGGTTTCAAAACTGTAACTGCTCTGTCCCTAGTTGCACAAATGAATTTATAGAACTTTTTAATTTGACAACATCTGTTACCTCACAACTATCTCAAGCTGAATCCTGTCCTTCACCCATAGAGCTCGCAACATTACTTAGAAGAAGAAAAACCCTACCATAGATGCCACACATCAAATGCATAGTGAAATATAGATAGCATTCATCGAGTTTATTTAAACACACAGGATACTAGAAAAATAGAAACCTTAATTTCCTAAACGTTCTTGTAAGAATTAGACAAGCTCTCGGAACAAATTACCGCAAGAACAAGTTCTAGGATCCCTCAAGGACAGGTCATGCTAATGAACACACACTCCCAGTCTTTAGCCTTCACAATTTCAGGTCATGCTTCAACTTTAAAGCATTTCTCTCTTTTGTTTGTAGTGCCATGATTCTTTTCCTCATGGGCATAAGCGCTAGCTTTCACAAGGACAAACCATGCTAATATCTGACCCTCTACCTTTTTTCTTTAACAGCATTAATCTCACGGTAAGCTTTAACTTAAAGAGTATTTCCCTCTTTTAGTTATAACACCAACATCTCCTTCTTCATGGGAAAAATTCTAACTCTTCATTGTTCTTCGTCTCAGGTCAAACATTTCAGTAAAGAAACAGTACTCTCATGATGGCGTGCAAGAGTTTACACAATTACTACACACATCACAGTCATCAGAACCAAGTTTCTTAGTAATTTGAAAAAGAGAAGGGGAAATTAGTAATTTTATATTCTAACAATTCACACGTACGTATCTTATTTGACTTCCAAGTTTCACTACATAAAAATGAAATGATAAATAAATAAATAGATGAGTAGTGCCATTTCCATCTACTATTAAGATTGTTGGAAAGCTTGAAGGAAAAAAGAAAAAGAAAAGGTAATTAAAAATAAAAATAAAATCACATATAAATAAAAATATATCTTCACGTAGCAGGTTAATAATAGCTTACACCCCAGAATACAATAATTGAGCATAGCACCAACATGCACCCGAAAACATAAAAAAAAAAATAGTAATATATAAATTGTAAAATAATATATTATATAAAATTTGTTTATTCTTTTTGTATTACTCTATGGAGCATCAAGAAAGAAAAAAGGGTAATAAATAAAAGTTTTATTCTTGTATAAACTTCTTTGACCGAAAATTAAGAAATTGGAAATTTAAGATTCGAACTGAATTATATTTAATAAAATACCAACAAATATTATATAGATTCTAGTTTCACAAACATATATGGAAATTGTCGAAACAGGAAAACAATATAATAATAACAATAATAATAATAGAATGCATAAAACCGTGGAAGTGGTGTGAAAAGGAAGTAGTTCGGGGAAAATGTGTAGAGAAACAAAAAATTTAATTCATAATTAATTAAATATTAAAAGATAAAATTTAAAAAAAAATTAAATATAAATAAATTTAAAAAATAAAAAATAAAGATCAAAATTAAAATATGAAATGAATCTTATCTTTAATTGAAGGGTGAAACTAAAAAAACAAATCAATTTAACATAAGAAACTAAAAAATCAAAATAATAAGGATCAAAATTAAAATAAAAAAAATAATTTTTTTATTGAAGGGTGAAATTGAAAATTAAAAAAATTAAAAAAAAATAATCAAAAGAATAAGAATCAAATTGAAAAAAAACCACATTTTCATATTGAGATTGAATGTTAAAATTAAAAATAAATCAAAGTTTTACAAAAACTCAAGAACAAAAATAAAAAAATAAAAATCAAAGTAAAAATTCTCATAAATCAAAAGACAACTATAACATTTTGCATAGGTAATATAAATTTCAAGGCCAGGAAAAAGAGAAAAGGAGATAAGAAAACAAAATATTATCAATAATAAACTATACCACTACTAATTGCACATGCTACCTCAAAAAAAGTTATAAATAAGGATACTTTTAATGACATGATAAAAGAAGAATTTTGGTTGTTGTGAGGCATAAGCCATACTACTAACTTTTTTTTTATTTGTTCAAATATTAAATTACCTATAAAATAACCTAATAATAAACAAATTTTTTCTTTTGTCCAAAAATAAAAAACATCATTATCACCAATTTTAAAATTTTTGCTTTAATTCAAGAGTATATTGGTTGTTTTACTATGCTCATATATATATATATATATATATATATATATATAATCAAATACCATATTTTTTCTTATTTGACCTAATAATCACAAAAAACATTATGAAATACAAAAATATCCTTCCATACCAGTTTCTATTTTTATGCTTGGAATGGTATTTTGGCAGTTTCATCTTGCGTTTAAAATGAAAAAAAGACTAATCAACCATCAATCTTGTAAAAAGACTTTAAAACCCGTAAGAGTCAGATTTAAAATTTTTCTGTGGGAAGGATAAAATCATGAGAACATTGTTCTTGATGCCAATTTTGTTTTTTCACTTTTAAGAATATTATGGCTGTTTTATTGTGCTTTTAAAATAAAAAATTATTTATTTTAATTAATTTAATAATAATGAATAAACCTTATAAAAAAGATTTCAAAACTCACAGTAGATAGTTTTAAGTTTTTCAATGAGAATAGAAAAACCATGAAAACTCTATTAAACACTGTTTCCACTCAAACTGTGGAGTGTTTTTCCCACCCTCTGTTAGCTTTTGTTAACATAAATGCATATAAGATGGTACATATACAATTTAATCCAACCAAACCTTGAGCAGACTGCTAAAAAATAATAAATGTATGACGTATGGCAATTACTTTGTTCGAGCTCTTATTATTATATATTAACTCGGTGACACCCATCCCAACCAATCTAATAATTGCAAGCTAGGTTCTCGATTTTTTCCCTTTTCATTTATGACCGCATTTTTTATACTTTCAGTTGTTATATTACAAAATTATAATTATATAAAAAACTAAGCCATAGGGAGTTTTTACTATTCAATGTCGACTCTACACTCTCTCTCAAATCACCATGAATTTTAATTCATACTTAATTTTTTAAAAAATTAATTTGATCTTTAATTATTTTTTGCATAATCAATCCTTTTTTAACACAAATTAATATCCAATTATATATTTTTTAAAGAAAAGATTGAATTAAAAGATAAATTCAGATTTTATACACAAGATTCACCTAAAAAAAAAAAATTCTTTCTCAATTACCAGATAACTGGTCTTGTTAGTTTTTAATATTTAATTTTAATATAAAAATTTATTTTTTCTTACTTTTCAATTTTTTTATAAAAGAGAGAAACTTATTAGATTTTATGGTTGAGAAAAAAATTTATACCTATTTGACCATCAAAATTGATGATTTTTCTTTCTTTATCCTTTCCTGATGAGGTAGATTTGATCATGGGAAGATTTATAGGTCTAGGTTAATTTTAGGTCTTAACTTATTTCTTAAGTTGTTTGAAGCCATAAATAAGTTTATTAAAGTATTTATTGTGTTTTTCTTAGTATTTTGGGTTAAAAATAGATGAAAAATAAGTTTATTAGCTAAAAAAACCTAAAACTTTGTTTTTCTTGCACTTTATTATTGATTCTGCAAAAAACAAGTTATGCATTATCTACATTTTTTTTTAATGGACAACAAGTTATTTATACCTTAAAAAAATAAAAATAGAACGATGATTAGGTGTTCAACTTTGGGCTCTATTTTTAGAAGGCCTAGGCATCCTAGGCCATCAAGCCTACACGTCTAGCTTTATTTTTGTATTTTTAATTTTTAATTTTATACTAAGGTAAAAAAATATAATAAAAAAACTAGCAAACTAACTTAAGTTTATAATCTGGGTTGTGGATTTGACGAGTTAAATTCATAATATCCGGATTGATTCAATATTTTATTTTTTGATTTAAAAAAAATATATGATTGAAATTTTTTAAGTATTTGTTTTATTTTGAATTTTTTTTCACGATATATATTTTTTTTTAGTTTTTCTTTGGAATTGATTTTTTTAGATTTTATCAGCATGGTTAAACCGTGGAACTCGGGTTGATCAAATATATTATCATCTCATTTTTTTTTAAATATGATGCTCAAATTTCTTTAAGCTTTTATTTTATTTAAATTGGTCTTCAGGATATATTTTGTTTTGGTTTTTTTTTTTAGGATTAATTGATTTCAATTTATTTTTTATACAGTTTTTTTTCATCTTGATTTTTTTTTTAAATTCAATCCACATTATTATTAATAATGGTCAACCAGATTATCATGTTATCTAACATTGAAAAACAAATTCCTACAATCATCATATTTGTTTTTTATATATTTTTTTTAAAATGGTTCGAGTGATTGAACGGGTCAAAGGGTTAGTTATATATATTGAGATTAGAGAATCAAAGTTTTATTTTTATGATTTAGTATGTGACTAGTTTATTGACCATGCTCTCATTGCAGCTTGCGTAAAAAAAAAAATTTAACATAACAAAATAATATCTATAAACTTTTAAGCATTGTTACAATACTCGGTAAAATAATTCAAATTTTAAAATTATAGCTTGTTTATTTGTTAAGCTTGAATTTTTTATTAAATCATATGGAAGACACCATATGTGATCTTTTTTACTTGATAGGTTTAAAGAAAAACAATCAAATCAACAATAAAGGATAAAACTAAATAAAAACCTCATATTAAATGATATAATTAAAAAAACCATTATATAAAAGAGGCTAAAACACTTTTATTGTATGATAAAAAACACAAAAAATGATTTATGATTATGCCAATACTAAAAGATAAAATTAAATAAAAAGCCCATATGAAAGGATAGAATTAAAAAAAAATCAAAAAATAAAAAAAGATGGAGTAAAAGACCTAAAAAAAATGAAAATCTCATATTAAAAAATAAAAATAAAAAACTTAAAAGATTAAAAATAACCCAATAAAATAAGCCATGTGAATGTTAAAAACAATCCAAGAGCCTGGGCTTAAAGGTGGATAACGTGCCTGAATTATTTTTTATTTTTATCTTCTTTTAAAATAAAAAAAAACCCAATAAAATTAGTTATGTATCATGTGCTGTGTTGCGGACTAACTTTTTATTTTTATAAAAAACTATTATGAAAATTTAAAATATAAAAGTATTGAGTCTGACTATAATATTAGATTTAGGAACATCAAGTCTAACTGCAAACCTAGGACCCAAAAGACTTGGTTCCAAACCTGGGCTCTAAGAGACTTTGGTTTTGATGAGGGTCCAAGTAAAATGAAATGACCTAATAAAATTGGGTTCAGATGCATGATTCAAGGCCAATTGGTTTTGCGTCTGGAACAATCAAGAAAATTATAATAAAAATAATAATATTTATAATACTAATAATAATATTTTTTTATATTAATACTTTGAATTATAATAAAAATAATAATATTTATAAAAAAAATAATTATATTTAGAAACCCAAGAATATTTATAACAAATTATACTATTTTTGATATTAATACATAGAATTATAATAAAAATAATAATATTTATAATAAAAATATTATATTAAGAAATCCAAGAATATTTATAACATAAATAATAATATTTTTTATATGAATACTTTGAATTATAAGAAAAAAATATTTATAACACAAATAATTATATTAATAAACCCAAGAATATTTATAACATAAATTATAATATTTTTGTTATTAATACTTAGAATTATAATAAAAATAATAATACTTATAACACAAATAATAATATTTTTGATATGAATACTTTGAATTATATATAAAAAATAATATTTATAATATAAATAATTATATTAAAAAACCTAAGACCCAAGAACTTTGAGTCCTGACATAGGACCCAAGAGACTTGGGTCTTAACGCAGGACTCAACATAATTGAGTCCCGACGAAGGACTTAAGGGCAATTGATTTTGCGTTTGGAGCACTTAAGATAATTATAATACAAATAATTATATTTTTTACACAAATAATTATATTAAAAAACCAAAGACGTAATAATCTTGGGTCCTGATAAATAACCCATGAGAATTGGGTCCTTATAAAGGACCAAAGAGCATTAGATCTTGATGCAGACTCAATAGAATTAGGTCTAAACACAAGACTCAAGGCCACTTGATTCTACGTTTAAAACACCTAAAAGAATTATAATAAAAATAAAAATATTTATAGTACAAATAATAATTTTTTCTATTAATACTTTGAATTATAATAAAAATAATGATACTTATAACATATATAATTATATTTTTATATGAGCACTTTGAATTATAATAAAAATAATAATATTTAGAACATAAATTATAATATTTTTGATATGAATACATTGAGTTATAATAAAAATAATAACATTTATAATATATATAATTTTATTTTTGAAATGAATACTTTGAATTATAAAAAAATAATAATATTTATAATACAAATAATTATAGTAATAAATCTAAGGTCCAAAAACCTTGGGTTCTAAAAAAAAAAAAAATCCAAGAGGATTGGGTCTTGATACCAGACTCAAGAGACCTGAGTCATGATACAAGATCTATAAGTAGTGGATCCTGATGCAAGATTCAAGACCAAGCTGAGTCTGTAGCCATGAATGCGGGTTTGGCTCTAACATTAGGTGTTTATAGTCCCATCAAAATTAAAACTGACTCATTTTTTCTCAATCATATTTAATGTTACATGCATCCGACTGAAAAAATAACCCCATTCTTTTCCTGTAAGCTTTTAAATAATTAACTCCTAGAATATAAAAAGTATGTTTGGTATTGCGGTAACTGTTGTGGTTATGGTTTGAAAAAAGTTGTTTTATAAAAAGTACTTTTAGTTGAGATTGATTTGAAAAAATAGGTATTTGGTTAAAACTATGGTTGAAATTAAAGTTGAAGAAAAAGTAGTTTAATGTGTTTGATTAAGAATGTTTTTGAAATTGAGATTATAAAATAATTTTAAAAAATATATATTAATATTAATAGTTTTTAATTTAAATATTATCGATTTAACTACTGTTATTATATCATGAAATAAATAATACTTTATATAAAATATTTTATATTATTTCATTAAACTATTTATAATCACATCACATACGAAATTCATCGAATAAGAACTACAATTTCCATAGTTTTTTGAGCGTGCAACAAAATAAGGAAAAATATCATTAGAAACAAAATTGAAATTACGATCAAATTCTACAAATATCACGCTATCATGTGATCTACTTCTAATTTATATAGTGTTATTACATAATATTAAACAATAATTTTTTTAATAAAATATAATTAAATATTTTTTTTTTACATAGAGTGAATTAATAATTCACTCTCCACTGTTCACAACAATATAGAGTGAATTTTTGTTGAGAGTGAATTAATTCACTCTCCACTCTTCACAACAGTAGAGAGTGAATTAATTCACTCTTCACGCAGACAAGGAGAGCACCTAAAAGACTAGGGGAAGCAAAGGGAAAACATAAGAGAGGAAAATGGTTTATGTAGGCCAGCGCTCCATCACCGTCATCATCATCTTTAAGTGTAGCAACAATTACAAAGACTACGAGAAGAACAAAAGAAAAACTGTTAAGAACAGCCCTCGTGGTTGAACAGAAGGAAAATGGTTTCAGCAGGCTAGCCTAGCTGTCTCCCTCGATGCCTCCAGCAGCGCCACGTCCAGGTAAGAACAGCTCTCATGATTTTCTCATCTGGACAAAATCCACCCGTACCCGAAGCACTGGTTAAGGAAGGAAGATAGAAACAACTTTATACTGTGTTTATAAACACAGTTACATGAACAGGAAACAAAAAGCATGTAATTTCTGCTTCAACAAAATTAAGTTTTGAACGCAGATAAAGATGGGGTCCATACATGAAAACTACGGCTCATTTTGTAACCAAATGATATGTTGATATTGTTAAATAAAAATGTTGTCGCAAACACTTAGCCAAGCAGGCTCAAACTGTACATGTCCTTTCTTGTATTACTACATTTGTCTTAACTTAGTTATTCATATGTTTTATTGAGAAAATATAGTGTAATGTATCAAATAGATTAGTCTTTTTTTATATATAGAATAAATAGGTTGATTAAATTTGAAACCCTTAATAACAGTTATATTTGACAAGATCGATCTGTACGAAATCTATGTTCATGAACTTATTAGCCCATAGAAGTCGTATGTTATGATGAGCATATGTTCCAAATTAATATATTATACATTATCGTTACAACCAATTCTTTTTAGATCTTGGCCAATAAATTGGAAAGATATATTTGCTTTAGGAGATAATTTTAACTAATTTATATGGTGATCAAGATTAAGTTTTTATTCAAATGATTAAAAAAACAGAGGCACCGTTGTGGATTCAAGAAATAAAATAACAATAATAAATAAATGTCCTTAATTACCCAGCCTAACCCTTGTGGTTTCCTTTTAGCACTATTTATTTATGTATATGTTTTATATAATAAAAATAAATCATGTTTCACGGCAAAGCCAGCGGGGAGTAAATGTGTTGAGCCTTGGACACTTCCACCGAAAGAGATGGTAAAGGGCAACAGATGTGATCTTGTGATCCTTACAAGGCCCCTTGCACCCGCCCTCTTCAGGCAACCACTGATATGACCAAAACAACCCTAGCCAACAATACCATATGTCTCTGCTGGAGTAAGGTTAGGATTTTCTTTTGGTTGGTTGTACATGCCTTCATGGGGACACATTGATCTTAATAGAAAAAGGGTGTGAGGGTGGCCACAGAGAAATATAATTTCGAGTTCCCGACCGCCTGAGAGTCAAAAAGAAGCGATGCGTTCGCCGACCGCAACGCGGTCGTTCATGTAGCCCACGCATTTCAATTTACAAGACACATTTCTTATTATTTATTTACTAAAACATTGCTTCTTAATCTATACATGTATTTATATATTCCTCATGAATTGCAATACTCCTTTTGAGCTCGCTTTTTCTTCACGCTTTTAATCACCATCCCAATAAATATGATTTTATATCATATTTATAAGAGTAGATTTTCAATATGCCAGTTGGCATTATTATATACAACGCCACGTACTAATATGAAAGACAGGGCTGAGAGCTCGGGCGTCACTGAGTAGTTAAGTGAAGAACTGGGAGATGCAAGGGGAGAAAGCATAAAAGAGTTATAGATTCATACTTCACATGAAGATAACATTGATTCGTTTGAAAATGGAAAAGAAAGAAAAAGAAAAAAGAAGGTAAATTAAGCCTCTTTCAGACAGCTACCTGACCTCCCCGATACTTGAACTCTCTCCCTCCCTCTCTCTCCTCTCATTTATATATATTCTTACCAAAAACCCAACAAACAATACAATTCAAACTCAGAGAGTCACCCCATTGCCCTACCAGGAGGTTCACACCTCTCTCTCTCAACCTCTCCTGCATAGACAACAAACTCTTTTCAGTCTACTTATTACTACTAATTAACACACGCCCGCACTCACACTCTCCCTCCTACACAAATCCCACCAAGGACCACACCCTTTTCAGTTTGTTAGCTACTTCTCTTTCAAAAGATCACAGGCACTTTTCCATAACCCTACCCCCCACAAAAGAGATATCAAGCGAGAAAAAAATGAACATGAACGGTCTTGAATCTCAACGAAGACAAGAACCCTTGAAAAGAAGATGGCAAGAGATAACAAGTGTCCCAAACATGAGCCAGTTCCCCAGGCCAACTTCTTCTTTACCCAATTTCATGACCAAGCCTATAACCTTTCCTGGCTTCGAAGATGATGATCTTGTTTCTACCATGATCCCTCCGGTGACAGTTGTTCTCGAGGGCCGTTCGATCTGCCAGAGAATTAGCCTTCATAAGCATGCAAGCTATCATAGCCTTGCGAAGGCTCTAAGGCAGATGTATGTTGACGGAGGCAGCGATTCCGGAGGTTCGACAGCATCATCAGCATCAGAGAGTGTCAGTGATCATGATCTTGATCTCACAAATGCTGTTCCTGGTCATCTCATCGCCTATGAAGACATTGAAAGTGATCTCCTTCTTGCTGGTGACCTTAACTGGAAGTACGTATACGTTATCATTTTGACTAATTACATTGCCATGTTTTAATGTCATTGACTAAATGTACATGTCCTTTAAACAGGACTCCATATATAAATGGTTTTTGTATTATGAAACTCTATTTCTTTCAGCAGAAAGCAATCCTATTAAAAACTTAGTTATAGTGGTATCGTTTCTTATCGCCTCATCAGTTATATGGGTCTTGTATATTTACGTGCAGAGATAGATCTGATTAATATGTTATTTTAACTACACAAATTTATTGATATAACAATCAACATAGAGATCGTTATGGACACATATATGTTTATATGATGATTGATATACTGATATTGGTAGATTTGTTGATATATTTATCTTGATCATGCTGATGTTGATGGATCTACATATATATATATATATATATATTGATGTGATAGTCAAATAAATATATTAATAGATATAATAGTCAATAGATCAATATATGATAAATCCATAAATATATATATTTATGTTAACATGTTAATGACCACATTAGTCTATCTATGAACACGTACGGACCCACTTCATGTTCCGCATGTTCCGTAATGAAATTGTAGCATCGCAAACCCATAACCTATAGAGGTCTTTTTTTTCTTTTTCGCTTGATAAATTATTGATTATGCCTGTATTGTAAATGGTTATGCTACACCATTGCTTGCTCTTAATTTGTCACTCTGGGTGTGAATATGTAGAGACTTTGTGCGTGTGGCGAAGAGGATTAGGATAATGCCAGCGAAGGGGAATTCAAGGAAGAGAACAGGAGGGGCGGCCTAGGGGCTGGGTTGCTATACATTGTCTGGCTGTGATGGTTGTCTTGATCAAGATGTAAGAAGTCAAGGAGGTTATACAGTTTAATATTTTAAAAATCAGGGTTTATGATTTTGCAATGGAAAATATATATGTCACCTAGCTAGCTAGATTTCTTGGGAAGGACGACCTCGTTTCCTTCTTTGAATAAAATAACTTTATCTCCCACATTCGGTTGTTCACGGATGTTGTTTTATTTCTAGCAGCTCTAATGTATGTGGCCCATGCATTTGCCCTTATTTCTTGCCTCGCTCTGTTCATTAGAAAAGGTCAACCTTACCTTCCTAATCTCTTTGTTTTTTTATAGTAACTTACCTTCCTAGACTGCCTATTGAGGAACTAGCACATGTGCGCACCATACCCAGGTGAATCATAACAGTATCAAATCGTTTCATTTATAGATTAGTTTTCATGTCAGTATATCTTTACCTAAATTTAGTTAATTAATAGAAGAAGACATTGCTTTCTTTTTATTGCTTTCAATTGGATATGTAAGTGGTGATGGCTTGGTATCCATGGAAATTTAACATCTTTCTTGCCGAACAGGAGTGGACGAAACTCAGCACTTGCTGTCATATATGGCTGTCTTGTTCTGTTCCAATGGGACGAATGAGAACTAATTTATAGCAGATCAACACTTCCCAATTCCATCTCTCTCTCAATTATTGTCGACTACTTTTGGCCAAATACTAACCGAAATGTCCGTTGGATATTTAAGTGGTTAGATACACCAGATTAACTACTTCAACACTTCCTCCGTGCTATTTTTATTGGCTATTTTGTAATTTTCAATTGTTTCATTTCATTTGATTGTTCTACAAACGCTGTTTTTTTTTTTTTTTCCTTTTAACATTTTTTAAATTCACAATTTTAAAAAGCCAAATTAAGAGTTAGATAAATATGAAAGGTAGAAAAAGAATAACATAATAAAATCAACATTTTATATATCCTTTTCATATTTGTTTGTGTTATATCTGTTTGTGTTTATTGTGGTACATTTATTTATTAGATGATATTAATCTTGGATTAAATGACCCACTTTCAGCTTATATCTTTTAACATTGATTACCAAATACTTGAATTGAAAAAATGTTTATATTTATTATTTGTTTTTGTATTTGAAATATTTTTCTTGATATTGTAAATAAGTTTGGATTTAATCAACGTGATCCCAAATAAACCTATTATGAATAAATGTTCGCCTCATCAATTTCAATTAATATAATTAATTTGTTTCATGCCTGTCAATAACTCACCATCACTATATCCAACACCTGTTTTTTTATAAAGTGTAAATCAAGTAATTGTGAGAATAAAATTCAAAACCATTCTTTTAATTTAATTTTAAAATAAAAATATGTTAGTTTAGAAAATTCCTAAACGCAATAAATATTTGTTTTAAATAAGTAACAATATAGCTTATATTAAGTATGATGTATAAAATGATTGTTATCTTGTATATATAAACAATTTTTTATTTAGAATATTTAAAAGACTAGTTAAAAAATTTTAATTATTATAAAATTAGATAGCAACTAAATTTTATAATTTTACCAATAATTCATTAATATCCTTAACATTAAATGGTAGATTCATAATTGTTTCTGAGTGAGAGGGCAAAATAAGATACATAGGAAGAGAACATATAACTAAAATTTTCTAAGAAAATCTTGCACCAGTTTTTAGGGGGGGAAAATTGAATTTCACAATAAACTTTTTGGGACCTTTTCATTTGATGGAATAAATGTTTTTTAAACTAATTAATATGCGGATTTTACTGAGGCTTCAAAAAAGAGAGACACGTTAGAGAGGAAATTCATTTTAGAGGCTTAATTGCACTTTGTATTAATTTTAGTGGTGCTAAATTAGGAAACCCACAACGACGATAAAATTCTAATAAAATTTTACTCTATTCATTAGTTTGTCGCATAAATAAATGCGATGTGGGGATTAAGGAGGTATGCATTAATTTCTTTTCTATTTCTTTTAATGAAAACAAAAAATTGAGAAATTGTGTGTTTTATAAAATCAGCAACAAATTAATTAAAAAATTAAATGGTGTTTAAAAGTCTAATAAAAGTTATTTTTTAAAATGTTTTTTATTTTAAAATAATTTTTTTTTAATTTTTTAAAAAACATTTTTAAAAAACCATAACAGCCTAAGTTAAATAGGTGTAAGAAGCAAGATGCAATGCTAACAAATGGGTTAAAAAAACAAGACTGTTTTGAGCTAAACCACTTCAACTGGCATTTATGAGCCCACGACAGTCAATCTCCCTAATACATTTAAAAGACAGAGTATTAACACTAACCATACTACTATGTTTGTGCCCATCTTTGCACGGTCCAAAACGTTGCGTTGGACAAAGTTAACCTTCAGTCCAATCCATTTAAAGTTTTTTAAAAAGTTTGATTTTTATTTTATTTTATTTTAATATATTTTTAAATTATTTTAATATATTAATATTAAAAATCATTTTTTAAAAATAAAAATTATTATTTTAATATATTTTAAAATAAAAAATATTTTAAAAAATAAACACTATCATATTTCCACACACCCCCTTCAATCATCACACCTCAGGTGTTCCATTAATAGAAGCTAACTAGTCAAGGACACCCAACAAATATAATCATCACCAAGAAAACAAAATTGCATTATTAGTGATCTGGTCTGGTGCGCATTGAAATTAAGTAGACGCTAGGAAGGTAGTGCACTAGGGTAGGAGTGCACAAAAAGAGAGGGCAGTCAGTGCGCGAGGAAATAAATGTACACGGTTATGCTGGTAGTGTACGATCCGACAAAATGAGGGATCTCGCGTTGGCAGTGAGGCTGGAGATGGCAGTGCATGAGGATAGCCCTCAGGTAGCTACGACAAACTTTGAAGATTAAAATCTTTTGTCTTATTTTAATTCATAAATAAATTCTAATTCAATTAATGAGAATAAAATACTAAATTTTTTCCACCATTCTTACAATCACCTTATTTTAATTTATTGCCGCATCTCTTCCATTGGGGGTGACCATGGTCGATACTGTGAGGATAGCATTTCATCAACAGCTGACACTGACATCAAATGGATACATACGATGTAATAATCTTCGGGCTACCAGGCTTAATTTTGAATACATTGATTGATTCTGTTCATGATAAAATTATGAAATCTTTCGGAACGCATATATAAATGCAATTTTCAATACGATGTAAGGTGCCAGAGAGAAGAGAATCTTTGAACAGAAACATGACGGCCTAGTGGTCTGTCATGTGTCTGATATTTTTATTAACTCAACTTTTATTATCATGTAAGATAATGGAAACTCATGTTTTTCCATTACCCTTGCAATCACAGTCCTTCATTCACGCCTAGTACTGCTTATTGGACATTCATCTCCTACATTAGAGCTGAGCAAGGTTGACATTCTTAACATCATTATCATGAAGCTCTAGCTTAACTAGCTCACTGATATCATATGGGTGAGCATCCTCAGGTAACTGCCGTTTAAATGCTCTTTTTCCGAAGGCCCAAGCTTTAGCTTCAGTAAAATGGGCCCCGTCCCAGTACACATACTCACTCCTGTTGGCACATGGGATGGAAAGGGATTGGCATGGGACGGCACCAGATTCTAGTACCTGGCAACAGCTCTCACGGGTTTGTTTGAAACCTGCAATATTGAAGCAAAAGTAATGTTAGTAACGAAGGACTAACTAAAGGAAATGTCTGTCTTCAACCATTCTCCCGAATTCAGAGAAGAAAACTAGAGGGAAAGAAAGAGAAATTTATTAGTACCTGCATTTGTGACGTCAGAATCAATACCGTAAGAGTTTATGTAGGTGAAGACAGCATCTTTATGCTTCTCATTAAGCTCTTGGAGCATTGTTTGAAGCTGACTGTTGAAAATCTTAACATCATCGTTGAGCTTGTACGCACATAAACTGTCATCTAGGTCATTAGGATTTTGTTGTATGTTGGACGGCATACATCCTACCCGAATAAGACCAAACACGGCTATCTTTCTCGCTCCTGTAGAATACAGATCCTGGCAGGAAGGAAAACGGGATTAAGAGGGGCTCCTAGTTAGTTTCTAATCAGACCAGACATTAATTAGTTATTTTCTTAAAAGAGACACACCTCCAGTTGAGTCTTGTAAGTCTCAATGAGATGTCGCGCATATTCATCGGGATTGTATATCTTGCTGCTGTTGTAGGTATCCAAGAAATAGTTGTTGAGGTAGTCGTTATGGCCCATATCAGAAACATATACGCATTTGCTCAGGTACTTCTTAGCAACGTCATCGCCTCCCAGTTGTTTGGCAATGCGTGAAACAGTCATCTTGTGATTATATAACTGAATATTCATGGTAAACAGATCTCTCTGGCGTACACAAAAAGAAACACACACACACATATATAGTTAGTGTTGCCAAAGGACACACATGATTCCAAACTTCATATGCTCAACTATGCAAGTAATTTTATTTTTTTAATTGAAAGAAATAAGTTGACCAATATTACTAGAACTAAAATTGATTATAGAGAGAGGAGTGCCAATGATAGAAATTAAGACACAACTTAGTAAATATCAATCTTCCATAGGTGGAAATTAGGTTTTTGTGTTTACTTTTAGAAAATAATTTCTTAATTTTCACTTCTACTTCTCTCGTTTATACGTTCTAGAAGAAAGACTATTTTATGAGAAAATAAGAAAATATGTATATTAAATATAAATTATTTAAAATAGAAAATAAGAGCTTGTTTGGCTTATGTTGAAAAAACATGATACAAGTAATGAACATAAAAAATCTGGTGAACCAAACGAACTCTATATATTATGATTTGGGAAATAACCTTTTTCGATATTTTTCATTTTTCTATAGAATCGGAGAAATAGAAAACCAGCATTTTCTAGGAAAAAAAATTATATTTTCAATTAGAAAATATGTTTTATTTAGTTTTCTATTTCCCACAAATAAACACAACTTCTCCAAAACCATACAAAACAATTCTAATAATTCTTTTTAACCAACAAGAGTTTTCAATAGAGGCATGTATATGGTCATTAATCACCGAAAGATATCCTGTTTCATCAAGAATGCCAGCTCCACTAGATCCGTAATTGACACCATCTAGGAAATTAGTGAAACCTCCGACGCCGAAGTCCGTGATGAAACTGTCGAAACCTAATTGTTCAGCTGAAACAAAACAATACAAGTTAGTTCAATAGCATTATGATTATATACCTATTTTTATGTATATAAGGAAATTTGAACCCGAAAGCTCTTAGGAGAAGGGAAACATGGATACTGATTGAGCTACAAGCTCATTCGCGCGCGTATTTTATATATATATATATATATATATATATATATATATAGCATAGCCTTAGCTAGTAAAATTGGCATCAGTAAGTGATTTTTTACGTTATAAACATTGTAAATCTCAGCAACAAAAGTATCAGTTGCAGACTTGGCCCAATTTCTAAATTTAGTATAATAACTTCCTAAGGAGAATAATTATTTCCCGTTAAGTAAAGCAAAACAAAAGTGTTATGTTATAAGAGAGGAGAGCAAACTGCATGCAGACCAATGGTGTCGGCTATGTTGAGGCCATTGCTACACCTTCCTGTAGCCCCCAAAGGGAAGTCTATTCCATAAGGCAGATAATTAACCTTAACAGGTGTGGTGAGGTAGTTATTGTTTCCATTGTCAAACAAGGAGTCTCCAAAGACGAAGTAGCAAGGAACTTGAGGCGTGGCCTTTCCATAAATCCAGTGTTGCCAGTTTGACACCAGCAATACAACAGACAACGCCCACAATGCCTTAAGCTCACTAGCCATTAAAAAGTAAGCAAAACAAGATAGAAAGGAAGAGCTTTGCAGTCGAAAACAAGATAGAGTGAAGGAAGAAGTGAGTTTTAGGGATGGGTGCTTTGGAAAGGAACGAACCCGGACTATATATAGAGGTGTGGGGGCGTCAGCTTGAAACTTTAAACAATACAAACAGCAGATAGATTTTTTATTTAAAATATATTAAAATAATTTTTTTATTTTTTAAAAATTATTTTTAATATTATTGTACTAAAATGATTTAAAAATACTGAAAAAACATTGATTTAAAGTAAATAAAAAATAAAAATAAAATTTAAATTTTTTTAAAATATTTTTAAAATAAAAAAATAAATATAACCCTAGTATTTCGCAACGTGTATTTTTCCTTTTTTATTTTCTTCCAACTTTTGTGTTATTTTTTTGTAACACCATACCTGCTACTTTGTTTTTAATGTGCAGAGTATTGTCTTTTATGAAAATAATATTTTTATGTGTCCATTCATCAAGAGCTTCATTCTCGCTTATGCGTTGCTTTTGATATTTTTGAAGATAATTAACAATACATAGTATATAATTTTGGAGGTGTCAGTCCCACTTGAAAATGATTTTTTGTTCCTCATGTTACTGAATTGTTCGGCGTTAGAATCTTAGGATAATTTACAATATTTTATTTTTACTCCATCCCCAATGTGAAATGCTTGCTCAAGAGTTAATCATCATATAATCCAAGAACATTAAAATTACACCAAGAACGACCAATTGTTTCAAAACCAGACAAAAGTAATTTCGCTATGATGTCCTCACTAAATTCATTTTATACGTGGCTTCTTCCTCAATGGAAGGTCCTAACTAAAGAAACCTCACGTAGTCAAAGCGTGTTGATTTCGTGGTTTGAAATATTTTTTATTTAAAAAATATTAAATTACTATTTTTCATTAAAAAATACAAAAAATCTAAAAAAATTATCATTTAAATATATTTTCAATTAAAAAACACGATATAAATACACATGCTCCAACCTTGAAGTTAATAAGGTGAAAGATCCATTCTCAATTGAAAAAATCATTTTAAAAAAGTGCATTCATTGCCTACAAATTGAAAAATTATTGGAAGTTGTGCTGGTTAAGCAAAAGATTTTAGGTCTGTATTAATACGGATATAAATAATCAGTAAAAGCGTGAATGTACTCAGAGAAAGTAGGTGGAGGAAAAGTAATGAGAAAGAAATTAACAAGTCATTTACTTTGTTAAAGGAAAGAAAAAGTGGGGGCTCTTACTGTGAGAAAAGTTAACGGTGTTCAAAATTGACCGTCTCTTTTTTCGTTCCTTGGTATTAAGAAGTAATTTGCTAGTATTTTGTAAATATTTATTAATAATCAAATAAATATAAACATAAAAAACTTAAATAAATAAGTTATTTGGCCACCGAAAAAACTTTTTTAATAACTTTTCAAAATATAAAAAACCTCTTTGAGATAGTTAAACTCAAGATAAATAATTTTTATTAGTTTAAAAGATTACAAGAGTATTACAAATATTTGTATCTATTCTATTTTGTAAAGACAAACACTTTATTTGGTCTTTTATCACAAAAACTTGTGATCTTTAAAATATTGTTATCCTAATTAAAACACTCACTTGCTAATAGTTAATATAGAAATTCCTTTTAAGAGTCTGCAGATTTTACAACTTTTCGATGAATTGTTTTCCTTAAGAATTTTCTTTATTCTCCACTTATGTATCAAGAGTATATATTGTGAAACTATATGTACTCCACTCCACTGACAATGCTACTATCTCAAATGCTTCTAATTGTCTTTCCATATATATATATAAGAACCTTTGATAAATATTATTTTCAAGTTTCCTAGTTTATTATGTTCTTAACAAAATGCTAACTTATTTCACAAAAACATTTTTTTAATAATTATTTTCAGATAACTTGTATTTTTTTTTTATATAAAACTTGTATAAATTTCCTAATTAATTTATCAAAACAAACTAGATAATTATATAAATAATGACTGCTAACAAATACTTCATTAAAATATATTAGGAAGCATAACTAAAACAATGGTATGTAGCATGAGAACAATTAATAATATTTATGCAACATTCTCCTAATAGTTCTTAACATATTTCATGCAAACAATTCATAACATATTTAAAGAATACTAGATGCAACATGTTGCATCCTAACAATTCATAATATATTTAAAAACTATCATGCATAAGATATTGTTATACAACTACATGTATCAAGTTTAAAGTGCATCAAATATTCAATTTAGAGGTTCTTATGCTATAAAAAAGACATCATAGTTATTACAGACTAGAATATTTAATATTTATTACTAATTAAAAATAAACAAAATTCTAGAAAGCAAAAAAAATAAATTATAACAACTGGCTGGTTGGGTACTTGCTTTCTCTTTCCTCTTCTCCTTTGCATCCCTCACATGTATCATTGTCCCCTCTTAGTTTAGCACCAATCCTAATCCTTATTTTCACCAATAATAAACTAATGTACTTGTTCGACATTCAAGTCGAGTTCAACAAGTCTATCATTAACCTGTATAATATCTTTTTGCATATCTGTTAATTAGTAACTTGTCAACCACATCAATATTATTTTTTCCCACTTACTAGTAAAATTATCAAACTTGTTTGATAATACTTGCAATTGTTCAATTATAAAAGGGATTAAGAGGCTTGTTTAAGGAGTTTTGGGTTAAGACGTGTTTGACTTTTCAGGATGTAATCTTTTTTTACTAATCACGACTTTAAATTTGACAACAGTTACATTTGAGATCTTTTTATAAATCTTGATTGTTGGCTTATTATTATGTAATGATATTTTATCTATGATCGATACCCTAGATATCAACCCACCAAAAGACAGCCTCACTTCCTTAGTTGTAACTTTTTTGTATGACATCCAAAAATGAGTGGTTAGGTTGATAGGAACATCAATAGCAATGACATACATGAATAGAACTTTCTCAACCATCAGCTCAGCATGTCTTTTAATAGGCCAGAGGTTTGTTAGTGCAATTTTTGCTAACAATTAGTAACGAGGTAGCATAGTAGTTATAGACAGTACATGAGTTTTGAGAGGCTATTTAGTTTTTTAAAGGTAACGAACATATCATTCATCTGAGTCTTTGAAGAGGCTCTTACTCATTTCTAGGGAAAGTTAAGATCTGTAATTTTAGGTAGCTCTTATAACTTTTTAATACAGCAAGACATAACTTAAAGGTTTGACCACCATAACATTTAATAGTTTTACCAATAGAATTTTTCTGTCGATGTAAGACACATATTCCATCGATAATTAATTTACCAACAAAATCACCGATGAAAATGCTCTGTCGGTGAATCTTTCATTGGTAAATTTTTATCTGTTGGTAAATTTATTGGTAATAAAAAAAATATGATCACCTATGGATTTACTGACAGAACCAACATGTGAAAAAATACTCGCTTCATTTCATCGGTATATCCCTTGATAATAATATTTTATTACCAATGAATTTACCAAGGGATATATAGACGAAAATTCCATCGGTAATTCAATAAGTAATTATTTAAAAATATTTTAAAATTTTTATTTTATAGAATTATAAAATAATTAAATAAATATAAATCAACACTCTATAATATATACTCAAAATTCTTGGAAAAAAAGGAAGAAGAAAATAAAACAAAAAAATAAATTCAACTAAAAAACTTTATATGAAAAAAATGAAGTTGGAATTGCTAAAAATTTAAAAATCCTATAAATAAATCAACTAAAAATTGATCTCATATGAAAAATAAATCTCACAACAATATTTATACAACTATTGAGATAAAAAAAAATTAAAAATAAAATATTAAACAAATATAGTGAAAAAAATCTTGAAAAAGGAAGAAAAAAAATCTTATCTTAATGTAGTGGCAAGTGAAGCTAAGGAGAGGAAAAAAAATTTGTAAAGCATATTAATTAAAAAAAAAACTAAGAGGATAAAAGAAGAAAGAAGAAGAAAACATACTCGAGCAGGAGATGAGGAGAGAAAAGAAGAGAAAAAAATAGATATTGATGTTTTTTACATATAGTGAAGAAGAAGAAGAAGAAGAGGAAGAGGAAGAAGAAATGAGTCTGTTTCTTGTGAAATAAAGGAATCCAGGCTTTTTATTGGGGTGCGTTAGCGACGAATTTACGGACGGATAATTAAATATTAATTTTTTTAATTATTTTATTGATAATTCCATCGATAATATTAATTTAAATTTTTAATTTTGTAAAATTGTTTTAGAAACTGCCAATAATTACCGATGATTTTTCAATCTGTTGGTGATAATGTCTGTAATATTTAAATTAATTAATTTTTTTTTTCATAAAATCACCATATAACATTGACGACTTTTCAATCTGTCAGTGATTTTGTCCATAAAGAACAATAATTAACAATGCAATTGAAAATCCTAATGGAAAATTTCATCATTGATTCCCTTTGTAAATGACATAATGAATAGTATTCACAATTTACCAAAAAATTTATTGATAAGTTTTTGGTAATTTTGTTGTAAAAAATAACATGTTATTATTTTTTTTTTTGGTTTGTTTTAATTTTTCTTCCCATTGTAATCTTCTTGGTATATACGAAGAGACTATTTCCATTTGAAAAATCCCTTGAAAATTTATTAATAAAAATAAGTGGAAGTAATGGAGTGGTCATCAAGATTGAAAGGCTTATAAATGGAAAAAAAAAAAAAACTCATTAACTACTTCAACATATGGAGCATGTGCTCCTTCAATTAGTTTACCCCACTTTCCTTAAAGATATCTTCTATAAACATAAATGTGGGGTCAAAAAGATCACTTAACAAAGGTGTTATGTTTCTTATTAAATTTTATTTTATCATGTCCCTTCAACAAAAATAAAAATAAAAATAAAAATAAATCACTCATTTTCAGAAACAAAAAATCAAGAAATTTGCAAAATAAATTTCTTTCTAATAATGTTAAGAAATTTCATATCAAGATAGAATATCCTTGTCATTTTTATAAAAATGTTAAATGTAAGATGGAGAGGATGAGCAAATGCTTTATTTTATAAATTCTTT